GGTTTTTCGAGACAGGGTTTCTCTGTAGCTTTGGTGCCTGTCCTGGAACTAGCTCTTGTAGACCAGGCTGGCCTTGAACTCCCAGAGATCCACCTGCCTCTGCCTCCGGGGTGCTGGGATTAAAGGCGTGATTATGTTTTCTTCACCAGTTCAGTCCACGATGGCTTTGCCTCTTGCTTTTCAGCTTATGAAGCAAGACCATACAACATGGTTGGAGCAAAGTGACTCATCCCATGGGAGGAGAAGATGGAAGAGGAGTTAGGGTCCTTTATATCCTTCAAGGATGTAAAAGACCTGCAATGGCTTACTTTACTTTCACCATGCCTCACCTTCTAAGGGTTTTATTAGCTCTGTTAGGACCGGAGGTTGGAGAGGAAACACTTCAGTGTGCGGACCTTCAAACCGTCTCAGTGGCTGAGCTAGACATAAGATCATCGCAGATGAAAAACTGAGAGGCTACATAGGTATCGTGGGACTCAAGAATATGATTCCAAAACTTCCATTGATTAGCAATCGAGTTGCTGAATCAGTCAATCACCTCTAGCAGATTATTGCAAGAGCCTCTCATCATGTTTGAAATATAACAGACAGTAACCAAGGGTTACAATCTATTTTCTTAATTGACTGATATCTAACTAGAACTGTTATTCAAAAGCTGTAATGGGAGGCATATTAATCCACTATGAAGTGGGTGTGGGAGGAAACACAGTGAGACCCGGTCTTATAAAACGAAAATCATGAAAGACGAATGATGCGCAAATACCATCCTAGATGTTGTAGAGAGAAACTGTAATAAATTGCATCTCAGTATTTTCACAGCGTGGAGAAGCTGGGTTCCGTGAGGGAGGAGTGTTTTTTGCTTTTTGGTACTAAATGAGACCAGTACTTGACATATATTAGTTGCTCCTTAAATATTTGTCGAGTACAGTAACAAACGTTCTAAAGAACGCACTACTTTAACCCCGAACCAGAGTTAGAGCCCCACCAGGCCAGCTTCGCCACAGGAAATTTGAGCTCTTCGCTTTCCGTAGGCGCCCTTCCCGGCTTCCTCCGCGGCGTTCCCACGCCGACGCTCCTGAGGGTTGCGGGGCACTAGGTGGCTTCGCTCTTCGCGTCAGCAAGTCATCGAGGCCATGGCAGCCCAGAAGATAAACGAGGGGTTGGAGCATCTGGCGAAGGCAGAGAAGTAGTACGTGGAGTCGCCGCTGGGCTAGTGACCCGCGCCCCTTGGCCGTGCGCGCGGGCGGATCGGGAGGGAGGGCCGTGATGCTGTCCGCGTCCCGGGGCGGCGCCGTCCCTTGTGGGTCAATCCCCTGCAGTCGGCGGTGCGGGCCTGCACCTCGGCATCTGCAGCAGGTGCCCGCATCACAGACACGTCTGCCCGGCGCGGGTTCCCGAGGGTTTGCGGTCGCCCTTCTCGTAGAGTAGTTGCGGGCTCAGGGATGGCCACCTTATTTCCTCTTCAAGACAGCCAGAAGTGACCCCACTGATGAAATCGCCCGGTGGAGAGCCACTGCTAGGAAAGAGACCTTGTGCCATGCGGGGTGTAGACTAATTCTGGGACCTCTCACCCTTAGACGTCTTGTTCCCTGGGGTACAAGGTCTCTGCTTCCTTAGCCCTATGGGTGTGCCACCATCTGCTTCCGGGCGCAGTAGGCACCCAGCTGTACTGGAAATTGCGAATTCTCTTTATTTTGACGCTAACATGACCCTCGAACCCACTTCCGTGAATTGCAACATAAATATTTAGCGATTATCGACTATAAGAAGTTTCTTAGTACACTGTTAGGGGCACCATAAACTAAGATCTTACCAACTTTCCAAATATAAGTCCTCACGTCACAAAGGAGAAACAGAGGCTGTCAGAAACTTTCTGGAGACCTGTCCAAGACTACTCAGCTGAACAGAACAGGGCCAGTTTTACGCAGTGGAAATCCCCAGGCTCTTTCTTGTATACCACATTGCCTCCAGTGGTTAGGAAGGCAGCTATCGGTGCGGACTGTGATCTCAACAATCCGTGTTGCTGGTGGGAGCAAACATAAAAGACCAGAGCATGTGCTGTCAGCCATAATAAAGTTGCAGTATGTGAACTTCAGGGAGAAGTGATCCACCTGCCTGAGTTAATAGAACAATAGGAACCAGGATTGGCATCCTTTCTGTAATAGCCTTAACTGATCCTCACGGCAGCTGTGTATGGAGCTGAGCCTTTGGCTTCTAGGTGTCTCTGCTGGGAGAAGAATGGTGGGAGGGGCCTTCGGTCAAGGTGGGGTCATAGATGCCCAGACCGTGCTTGTGGCTGCGGCGGGGGTGTATTGGATTCAGGTCTGAAGGGTGTTAGAAGTTGCTCTAGGTAGAAAAGCAGTGGGGTGGCAGGAAAAATGGGCCACGAGTGTAGGAGAGGCAGTCGATTATACTCTATTTTCTGATGGCAGTAGCTCTCATCACTTTCTTTGTCTTAGGGAAGTTTTCTTACTGAGTCTTAGGACAAAAACAGTCAAGGCTGGACATCAAAGTGACATTAACAGGGCCTTCATTCCTAACTAGTGATGCTCTACTGCCTGGGGGTGATCAGCAGATTTTACAATCTCTCCAGCACATTGAATGATTATAACTTGTTGGGGTGAGACTTCCATAACCATGTTACTATAGGGCGTAATAGGTGCTTTCATGACGGGCAGAGCTGGAACTTTGCTCTGCTGCTTATTTCAATTTTATACATTTTATACATGTAATTGAAGGATTTTATTTCTCCCAGAGATAAAACTCTTCACAAACTTGAACATCTGTTTACACACTTCAATATTATTATAGTATGCATGTGTATGTTGTGTGTTAAGTATACTAAATATATTTTACAGAGAAAAGTAACTTCAGAGTTACACCCTGGGTAGTTGATACATGGGTCACAGGAACTTCTGTAGACCTGTGAAGGGTGTGCTTCTAAGGACCCCGTCTCTCATTAGCCCCTGGATTCATATGAAGCAGTGTTATATGTAAGCGGGCTTTCACTAATTGAGTTGAAATGTAGAATATAAGACGGCCTTCAGCAATTCTTACACACACCCAAGTTTGAGACCTACTGGATTAGTTTGAAATTATTTTTAAAATAAAATCAGAATACTGCAAAAGAAAAAGGCAAGAAAGATAAACACTAAACACTGGGTGCCCTTTGCTCTGGCTTCTAGGCCCGCGTCAATCCTGGACCGCCATTTCTCTCTGTTGTCCTAATACTCTCCTCTTTCTCCCTCCCACCCATTGGCTGCTGACTCTCACGCAGCCTTTGCTTTACTCCTCGGGTTTCCCGTCTGAATGTTGTCCCTTAGTCTCTGCAGTCTCTTGGTATATCAGGTGCTCACGGGTCTTTACTTGTCCTCTTCCCAGTAGCCGCTCTGCTGCAAAGGGATGACAATCTACTTCAGGTTCTCAAGCTTGTTAAAGCACACGTTTTGGCACCCACCCAGACAGTTTCTGGCTGTGTAGATCTGGGGTAGGCAGTGCTGATGCCGCTGGTCTGGGGACCATGCTTGTTCTGTTCAGATGGTATATAGGCATTTCAGAAGGAGGAAAACTGCATTTGTGATGGGTGGGGATGGCAGAGGCGAGGGTGCATTTATTATGAATAGTCGAGAAAGAGTTGAGAAGGTGGGGACCTGTCCCTGATGGTACCTTTTATTAAGAAATGTCTCTCTTTCATTCTAGCCTGAAAACTGGGTTTTTAAAATGGAAGCCAGACTACGACAGTGCTGCTTCTGAATATGGAAAAGCAGGTATTTGTGACTGGAGTCCTCTTGCTGTTGTGTATGTCATTAGCGTAATCGGATAACTTCGTCTTAGCGTAATAATTTCAGTGCTCTTGGGTGGAGCAGGCGCTAGAAGGAGCTCTTGGTATTCAGTGGAAGCAGCACCAATGTGTTGCTAAAAGTCAACAATTAAAACTTCAAAAGGCTTCTAAAAGTGTACTCAGAAAGATTATAACTTGCTTTAGATAAAAGTAATATTTCACATTTTTATGAAGCCCCCTATTTGAAATCTGTATTTTACTTCTCACATAATGCAGAGTTGGGTAATGAATGATTCATTTGAGGACAGTTAATGATGGAAATAGAAAGTCTTACTTTTTTTTTCTTTTCCTGTTTCAGCTGTTGCTTTTAAAAATGCCAAACAATTTGAACAAGCAAAAGATGCCTGCCTACGGGAAGCTGTTGCCCATGAAAATAACAGGGCGTATCTTTTTTTTTAGATTTAAAAGGAAATGGAACAGCAAGATTTTGACACCACCTTTCCCTTGAGCGTTTGAAGTGAAATGCTTTTGAGTTAGAGAAGGATGGGCAGTGTGTGCTTTATAGTCATGGGGGATTCAGCGAGTGTTCCTGAGCACATGTTGGTATGAGCAGCCTGTTTGCCTGTTATTTCCTCCTGCTCCTGGCTTTGTTGACAGGGATTTGACTTGAGATGAAGGGAATGAGGTTGCTAGGCATGTGCCGAGGAAGAAAGTGAAAGTACAGCTATTGAAAATGCATAATCTGCTTTGGGAAAAATAGTCTTCCCCAGGTCTTTGAAGATTTATAAGCATTCTAGAATGACATGTTCTTGGTGTGTCGTAAAGGCTACCAAATATAAATGTCCATTCTATCTCCCATGCAAATGTAGTCTTAGTATTCTTGCACTTCATCCTGTTGGTGTAGTAGTTTAAAGTTCTTCGCAGTGCTTGTCAGTGTTGGGGTGGTCAGAGCCAGCAGCAGCGCTGGGTATCGCAGCTTTACTCATAGGATTTGTCTTTGGAAACATGGACCAGTGACTTGGTCTCTGAAGACCATTGATTTCTTCTGTTTTCCTTAATTTTGACATCGTTGTCTTCATTCAGTCTTTTTCATGCTGCCAAGTAAGTAACTTTTCACCCTTGTTATGTGTTTGCAGATGTTTTAAAAGTTGATCTCTCTAACCTGAGAACTTTCCCTCAAGCTCTGTGTTTTTAAATACTTATATAAATTTAATTAAGATAATTATTTTCATTGTTTTAGCCATCAGCTGAACTTTAAAGTCCAAGTGTCTCCTAGTAAGAAAGATTTTTAAATTCTGCATAATGTTTTGCTTGTGAAAACCCAGGTGACTTGAATTCTCCCTTTATTTATTGGTTGCCAGGTGCCCATGGAAGAGATGGGAGCGTTCTCCTTTTGTGGAGCATATTCATTTGTTTTAAAACTAAGAATTGGGCTTGTCTTTTAGCCTTCCTGAGATACTTAATTTTGCTGAATAAATTCAGTTTAGTGTTTGGTGTTTCTAAGGCATCAGTGCTCTAAAAAGCAAATGAATGAAAGGAAACGCATGGCACTAGAAGTGTGGCGGTACAGCCCGGAGTGACACATGGGTGCTTGAGCTCCTTTCTGCTGGTCAGGTGACCAGCATCTTCACCTGAAGCTCTCTCCCTCTTTGTTAAGGTCTCATCAGAGAAATTGTATTCTCTTTGCAGAGCTTACGAGCAAGCTGGCATGATGTTGAAGGTTAGTGAGACTGTTTCAGAAGAGCTGTGCGGGGAAAGTGAACTCGCAAGCTGTCAAGGCAGAGTTCATGTTGAAGTTGACAAGTTTCTTCCCTGTAAAGCAAGAAGGGGTGAGGGTGTGGGAGTGGGAGCAAAGGCTATGTTAAGATGTCTTGCCCAGGTTAGCGCTAACTGGACCCATGGTGAGCGTCCTGTGGCAATCCCTGTAGAGGATTGAAAGTGCCTGTGAAAGGCAGTGGATCGGGAGGGAAGCCTGCAGCCAGGAGAGGGCGCTGCTGGAGACAGCCCGAGGGCGGCTGATGTAGTAAAACTTTATTTTACATGGATGGATGTTTGTTTGTTTGTTTTGTTAAATTACTTGTAGGTTATGGAAAGGAAAATTAGCTTTATTAATTTTTTGGTTTATAAATATCAGTGTCAGGCTGGAGTCAGGAGAGTCTCAAACTAGCTATTGCCACTTTATTTTATTCCTTTTGAATGGAACAATGGAATGTTTTGACTGATGTGCTACATTTATGCTTCTTAATAGCAGGTTAGGGGTTACTATTCTGTTTTAGCTATGAAATGGGTTAAGTGTGTGTGTGTGTGTGTGTGTGTGTGTGTGTGTACACAAGCCAGAGCTCAACATTTGGTGTCTTCTGCCACTGACCTTCTTTTTTGAGACCAGGTCTCTGGCCTGACACTCGCGGGTTAGCTAGACTGGTGACTGGTAGTTCCTGACATGCACCTGTCTCCACCTCCCCAGAGCTCAGATTACAAGTATATCATATGTTAGGCTTTTTGTTGTTGATTTTAGACCTAGATCTCAGGTGGTACCTACTCTGTAGTGCTCTATGTGTGTCAAGAAGTGTGTGGGTAAAATCATGGAATTTCCAGGTGTTAAAACTCGGTTTCTTAAGTTGAGACATTTTCTGCCTGTGCTGCATGCTTTTCCTGAAGGAGATGCAGAAACTGCCTGAGGCCGTCCAGCTGATTGAGAAAGCCAGCATGATGTACCTGGAGAATGGCACCCCTGATACAGCGGCCATGGCCTTGGAGCGAGCTGGAAAGTGAGTGCACAGGGCTGTTGTGGGGTGCCCTGGCTTTGCAGAGGGCTCCTTTTGTCTTGCTAAAGTCCTTTAAGAAACAATTCCTTGATTCTCACAAATTGTATTTTCTGTCTAATTCAGGCTCATAGAAAATGTAGATCCAGAGAAGGCTGTGCAGTTGTATCAGCAGACAGCCAATGTGTTCGAAGTAAGTTAGAATTTTATTTCTTTAATTACTCATAATATTTTCATACATAATATATAGGAAAAGAAAAATGCAGTGAATGCTTTTTAAGATTTTTCTGTGTCGCAGCTCGATGCCTTCTTTCTTCTAGAGGTTAGTGAATGGCCTAGCAGCATTGGTGCTACCATCCTTGGCCATTGCTTTGTGCAGTTGTTGTTGCAGGGTCAGAAGAGTTCCACAGTAACTCTGCCCATACTCCCTTTTCTGATTCCTGCAGAATGAGGAGCGCCTCCGGCAGGCAGTGGAACTTCTGGGAAAGGCCTCCCGACTGCTGGTGCGAGGGCGAAGGTATGGCTTACATTTGCGACTTGTAAACAGCCTTGGCTATAGCTTGTCTACACCGGACAAACCGTGGAAAGGTGACCATCTCCTAAGAGTAGGCATGTAGATTTAAAACCTGTTTTCTATCATAATTCCAAACTGTGTCATGCTTTTGTTACCTAACGGTAACTCCGTGAAGTGAAAGAGGAGTTTCCCATCACACTACTTGGAACCCATGAAACCCATGAAAATCCTCAGCTTTTGATACAGTTGTGTCATTAAATGGGATGTTTAGTATTTTCCACTATATATATTTCTTTAATTTTTTTCATATGTTCTTGGATTTGGTTTGCAAGTATTTCACTGAGAACATTTACATCTATATTCTTAAAGGGGTATTGATCTATATAGTGGCTTCATAAAAAGAATTAAGAAATGTTCCTTCAGTTTCTGCACTGTGAAATAAATTGAGGCATATTGGCATTAATTCTCTGAAGGTCTGATAGAATTCTTTGCTGAATACAACTGACCCTGGGATATTTTTGGTTAGGAGATTTCCTAATTACGGCCTCTATATCACTAGTGGTTATGAGTCTGTTTCAGTTGCTTATATTATCTTGACTTAACTTTGGTTAGGTCAAATGTACCAAGACACTGATCCATGTCTTTTAGATGTTATAGTTTGGTATAATAAAGATTTTTGAAGTATGTCCTCATGATTCTCTGAATTTCCTTAGTTTCTGTTGTAATGTTGCCCTTGTCATATCTAATTTTGTTCATTTCGATCTTCTGTCTCTTTTAGTTAATATGGCTAATGTTTTATCAATCTTAATGATTTTTCTCAAAGAACCAACTCTTCCTTTAATTGATTCTTTTTATTGGTATTTTTGTTGTTGTTTCTGTTTCGTTAATTTCTGCCCTGTCTCCCCTTTGGATATTATTTCTTCTTGTTTTTCTAGAGCTGCCAGGTGTGCCATTAAGTTACCAATATGAAATCTCGAGTTTTTTGATATACGTATTTAGTGCTATGAACTTGCCTCTTAGAACTGCCTTTGTTGTGACCTATTGGTTTGGATACGTTCTGTTTTCATTTTCATTCAATTCTTATAAGTTTTTAATTTTCTTCTTGATTCCTGTCTTGACAGAATTGTTCAGTTTCTATGAGATTATGTACTTTCTGACGTTTCTGTTGTTTTTGATATTCAACTTTAATCCGTGGTAATCAGATGGGTATGGTAGTGTTTCAGTTTTCTTGTATCTGTTGAGATTTGCTTTCTGACCTAGTATACTGTCAATTTTGGGGAAGTTCCATGAGCTGCTGAGGAGAAGGTAGATTCTTTAGAGTTTGGATGGATGTTCTGTAGATTCTGTTAGGTCCTTTTGATTTAGGCCATTATTTAGCTAGTGTTTCTCTGTTTAGTTTTGTGTAGATCATCTGTCTGTTGGTGAGAGCTCTGTATTGAGCTCACTCACCATCACTGTGTGAGGGCTGACATGTGATTTTAACCCTGGTAATGTGGTAATGTGTCTTTATGAACCTGGGTGCCAGTGTGTTCAGTGCATAAATGTTTAGAATTGTAATGTCCTCTTGGATTTCTCCTGTGATTAGTATGTAATGTTCTCTTCTAATTAGTTTTGGTTTGAAGTCTTTTTTTTTTTTTTTGCCAGATATTAGAATGGCTTACATCTACTTGATTCTTTGGTCCATTTGTTTAGAATAACCCATCCTTTAATCCCAAGGTGATATCTATTTTTGATGGTCAAGTCTTGTTTCTTAGATAGCAGAAAGAAGAATCCTGATTTTATAATCCAGTCTGTTAGTCTGTCTTTTTATGGAGGAATTAAGACCATTAAGGCTGAGGCTTATCAATGAGCAGTGTTGTGTCTTGTTATTTTGTTGTGCTATTATCGGCATCCCCACCCCGATTTACTGTTGATACACTGGGATTATTTATCCTTGTGTCCTCTAGGGTGTAGTTAACCTCTTTACATGTAGCCGGTGACTCGCTTACATTTCCTGGCCGCCCTGACCCAAATAATCACATTTAAAACTGTGTTAATTACAGCACTGCTTGGTCAACAGCTTAGGCGTATTTCTACCTAGCTCTTATATCTTAAATTAACCCATTTCTATTAATCTGGTTTCTGGCCAACAACTGGTAGAGACAGAAAAAAGGTAAAAAAAAAAAATCACGCTACACAGCTGCTTATAGGGACTGCTCTGGGGGTGGGAATTCTGAGAAGGAGAAGTACATCATCTCATTAAGAGAATAATCACCCCACTTGTCTGTTTGCATGACTTAAAGGAGACACGTATCTCAGTTTAAACTTGCCCGTATCTCTGCAGTGACAGTAAAGGCCATAGGTGTAGTTTTTCAAGAAATTCAGGACTGGATCAATTCCTTTCCAAGGCTAAAGTAAGTTTTTCTTCATGATGACTACATATTATAAGATTTAGAGATGGAGTATGACTATATCTTATATTGATAAGGTTAACTGTTCTTTTTCAGATACACTGTTGTGTTGTAAGATGTGGAAAGCTTCCAATAGTGAGATTTCCATAGGAATGAAACAGTCTGGTTCCTGTAATTTCATTTCTACAGGGTCTGTGCTGCTCATGCTCACAGTCATGAGAGATGTGAGTTATGGGAGGCCTCCTTTCATTACTTTTTCTGTTTGTATAGCGGACTGCCACAGCCCCAGCTCTTTAAAACAGCATTATGTAATCTCACGGAGTCTGTGGCCATAAGTCTCTACTGGGGTCTCAACAGGCTGAAATCAAGGTGTGGGAGGTACGCTGGGTCTACAGAAAGGCTGGGTTAGCTTGCTGGGATCCCTGAGCAGCAGTGCAGGGAGTAAGGACAGATGGCAGATAAGGGAGTGGTCAGGGCACTGTAGATGGAAGGAAGCCTGGTGATGCAGTCCAGATTGTCTAGAAAACTTTACAGAGCTGCTATTGAGGAGTTAGGAGCATATTAATGCGTGATTTTACCAAACTTATAAATCTCTTTCATGCTAACCTCTCATTTCCTTTGCATTGCCCTGATGCCTCAGGGGGAGTCAGGCATTTGGGAGAAAAGTCTGATGAGTGCAACCAATGGAAACACCGCTGTGGAGCAGCTGACAAAATGCTGTCCTCTAAAGTCTGTGCTACAGGGCAGTGTAGCAGTGGCATCTGCAGAGGGCTTCACATCTGCCCTCTTTGACGTTTCTTTCTTTTGTCTTTAGGTTTGATGAGGCTGCACTGTCTATTCAGAAAGAAAAAAATATTTATAAGGAAATTGAGAATTATCCAACATGTTATAAGGTATTCTTTGAATATGTCTGGCTTGACTTCACTTTAGATATTTTACACATTGGTATAAAGTATTTAAGCTAAGATCCTATGGGTATTTGTCTGTTTCTATAAATCAATAATTTATGATCTTTATGCTTCTGACCATGATGGAGAAAACCATCCTAGCCATCCTTTCTTTCAATAAAATTTTCAACAAAACACTAAAAGTATTCGCTTCAAACTCTGGACAGTAAATAAAAATGGGTGGCCTGTAGATGGCGCCCAGTGCTTGGATGAAGCCAGCAGCTCAGGAGCATGCGTTCCTGGGAGCTCTGTCTCCTCTTGTCCATTGCCCTGAGAGATGTTCCTCGTCATGGCGCTGGGCAGGAGAGACTGCAGCAAAAACTCCAGAAGAGCCCTCCTCCCTGAAACTGGAGGCCTCCCACCCCCACTTGGTTTAGGTTGAGCTCTGGTCATAGAGCTGCAGCTGCATCATAGCCTTCCCTCTCGTTTCAGAAAACAATTGCTCAGGTCTTGGTTCATCTACACAGAAATGATTATGTAGCTGCAGAGAGGTGTGTCAGAGAGAGCTACAGGTAAGGCCTGGCTGTTTTCACTGACCGGTGTTGACTTTCCTATTTCTTGAATTAACATCACTACCTAGACAAGTTTTGTTTTTGCCATGAAACTTTTACAAATCTTCTAAGAGATAAGACTGCCATTGCTGGGTTCCATTGTTTTATTGTGCGTGTCTTGTGTGTGCTGAGCAAGCCCTTACTATAGAGCTGAACTCCAGTTCCACCTCTCACTTAGGGTTTGCCAATCAGCAGTTATGGTACCAGATTTACAAGTTGCTTTTCTGCTTATGCTGTTCCCGGAATGATTTTCGTTACTTCATTATCTTTGCCTTTTAAATGACAACAACAAAGGAGAATTTCTGTGTGATATGTTGCAAGTCAGATGGGGGCATGAATGAGTATTGATCATTTATTACCGTGCGAGTGTCTTGTGCACTGTAGGATTCCTAGTGGCATCCTTGGTCTCCACCCACTTGTTGCCAGTAGCACCCCAACACTTGTAACCATCAGAATGTCTGCAGACCTTCTCCTGCCCTTGATGGGGACAGAAGGAGTCTCAAGGGAGAGCTGAAGTGTGATTTGTGCTTCCGTAGCATCCCAGGGTTTAATGGCAGTGAAGACTGTGCTGCGCTGGAACAGCTCCTGGAGGGGTATGACCAGCAAGACCAAGATCAGGTGTCAGATGTCTGCAACTCACCCCTTTTCAAGTACATGGACAATGACGTAAGTGGGCCTTTTGGGTCATCTCTCCTCTTCTTGAAGAGATTCTCCCCCTGTGAACTGGAGAGTGTTCTACCTCTGTACCTGTATTTTTCACATCAACCTATGCTCATAGAGGAGCCAGCCAGTCTAGTTGAACTTTACCTTGTGTAGGTGATGTAGCCTGCATGCGCTCAGGACTGCTTACTCGCTTCCTAGCTGTGTTGTCATGTGCATATTATAAATTCAGCCTCTTTTCTCCTGCCCTATTTTTTGGTTTATCCAGTTGCTATTAGGTTTTTTACCTGAAAGAGGCCATCCTGGGTAGCTGTAGGCCTGTGGGCATCCCGTGCCTGTGAGAGCTGTGTGAGACAGGCTGTTATTAGTCATCTTCAAGCCTAACCTGTAAAGTGGAAGAGCTCAGTTTATCCCCTAGACTGTTGTGAAGAATCCTCTGGTCTTCTGTGAGAAATAGCCTTACACTTGAGTGAGCCACAGCTCTCAACCTTTTTCCTCAGTCCTTCTGTATATTTATCTGATTATTAACCTTAGAGCTCTGTTACCATGTCAAATTAAGATCTTGAATTTTCTTATAATGATAGAGGTAAAGAAACAATAATCTTTTTTTTTTTATTCTAGGTAAATTCTTACACATACTTTTCTTTTTTTCTTCTTGGTCTCACTGGTGTATAGTACCACCTAGCCTTGAACTTACAGCCTTCTTGCCTCAGTACCCTGAAGTAGTGCAGGAAGTCCAAGTGTGCACCACTCTACCAAGCTGCTTATGCGCTTTTGAAAGCATGCTTGTGTCTTAATAATATGTATGCGGTATCTTCCTCAACAGTGTCCACCTTGTTTTGAGACAGTCTGAACCTGGAGCTCATTGATTTGCTTATCTGGCTGGCCAGCAAGCCAGGGATCCTCCTGGCTCTGCCTCCCCAGTGATGGGACTATAGGCTTTTGTCACTACATTGGTCTTTTGTGTGGGTGCTCAGGACCTCTGGAAGAGCAGTCAGTGCTCTTAACCACTGTACCATCTCTCTAGCCCATTTTTTAAAAGTGTAGGTTCTGGAGATCAAACTCTGGTCCTCAGGCATGAAAAACAAGACCTTTACTAACTGAGTTCTCTTCCCAGCTCCAAATTTGTATTTTTTTAAATTGTTCCTAATTTACACTCTCATTTACTCAGGTTTTTTCTTCATAACTACTAGAAGTATTATGGGTATGTCCATATTATCTCCAGGTCCCCAGTTAAGTACATACTTGGTACATCCACAACTGTGAGCAGTCGCACTGTGGTCTAATGACAGGGCATTTCTCTCAGAATACTAATTCCTGGGGATGGATGACTAGTATTTATTGCTTTGTGCATGTATGAAGTGTGTATGGGCACAGGGGCCACAGCACACAGGTGGAGGTCAGGCCAACTGTGTGAAGTTGCTTTTCCTTCTCTCCTTCTGTGGGTTCTGGGGATTAAATCCAGGTTGTTAAGCTTGTAAGGCAAACACTTTTACCCACGGAGCCATCTTGCTGACCTCATGCACATGTGCTTCTCTCTAAAAGATTAGTTTTTATTTTCGTGTACATGAGTGCATATATTGCACCACATGGGGGTGCCTGCAGAAGTCAGACGAGGATATTGTACCTCCTGGAACCAGAGTTAAAGATAGTTGTGAGTCGCTTTGTGGGCTTCAGAACTGAACTCACATTCTCTGCAAGAGCAGCAAGTCCTTTTGATTACTAAGCCATGTCTCCACGTGCCCCCACTTCCCCATCCCGACCCCAGTCCTTTTTATAATTAGCTGATGCTAAGACACTGTGTATCAAGATTCTAGTTTTCCAGCTTTAATAACTTGTCTTACTGTTGACAGTACGCTAAGCTGGGCCTAAGCCTAGTGGTCCCAGGAGGGGGAATCAAGAAGAAATCACCAGCAACACCCCAGGCCAAGCCTGATGGAGCTGCCAGCACAGCTGCGGAGGAGGAGGAAGACGAGTATTCGGGAGGCCTGTGCTAGTACCCTGCCTGCAGAGATGAGAAGCTGGGAATCCTGGCGAGCCTGTTGATGGGGTTAAGACTCATCTGTGGACATCTGTCACGGAGATTGTGACGCTGAGTGTTAATACATGTGAACTTTAGCTTGCCTTTCCCCAACTCAGCCATTGTGTCTGCTACCTGTGAAGCTCTGTACTTTCCGTTCTAAGAGCAGAAATGAGCGGTCATATTTTAATAATTGATTTTAAAATGTATAGATAAATTTCAGATAAATTATATTATAAGCAAGGCAGGAAATAAGCATAAATACTCTTTTCTCATGGGTTCTTGTAATTTATTGTTAAATAATTGTCACTGCATTTTATTTAACGTTACTTCTAAACGTGATTTTTCTTTTTTTCTTTTTTTTTTTTTTTTTTTTTTGGTAAAAATAATTATTTCAAAACTGGTCTGGTTCTTCCCACCATCTTTCCGTGTTGTCACATGGTATTCATGCATGTTCTGACTAAGGTTCTCAAGAGCATCGTCAGTGCCCAAAAGAGAGGCAGACAGCAGGTCCTCAGCGGGCGGCACTCCAGTGTCACCCTCCAGTCTGACTGTGGTGATGGTGCGTGCTGACACCTGACACCCTTACACGGGTGGGGTGAGGAGAGCGTTGATGGTCACAGAACTGGGAACGTTGTTGTCGCCCTGCAGGCTAAACAAGTGTGGAGTATCAGCCCCAGGTTAGATGTGCTACTTAAAGACCGAGATATGGCACAGTTATCTTCCCGTCCTGTCAGTGTGGCTGCATTGTACCAGTAGCCTCAGCTGGCATTGTGGACCATGAAGAAGCATGGCAGAAACATGGAGAGGAAGACCTGGGGTTCTCTTTTTAGGGGTATAAAATGTAAGAATGAAAGCAATGTTCCTGTGGACGGAGGACTTGTCTCATTCTGAAAAGAAAATTTATCCATCACCATATTAGATACATTTAAATTATTGAGTATTTTCAGAGACAGGTTTAGGACAAAAGCCTTATAGTATTTAGCTTAATACATGACCACAAAATGTGGAAGGCAGAGTGTTGGTGTTTTTTTTAAACAACAATAAAAAGGCTGGCTGTGTTCCAAAATGGGACTAATTAAGACCATTTGCATGAGTCCAGAATGACAGGTAATGTTCCTGTCAGTCTAGTATGCGTGCATTTCTGACCTCCAAAGCAGTTCTGATTCAGAGTTCATAATTTAGCATGAGTTGTTCTGTATACTACAAAAAGTAAAAAGCCAGTGTGTGTGTGTGTGTGTGTGTGTGTGTGTGTGTGTGTGTGTGTGTGTGGAGGGGGCGACTGCATTTGAAGGACATACATTTAGGACTGGGTTACCAGTCTTTTCGTACCTCAGAAGGCCTTCCATGCTTATTTCCTAAAAGTTAGTTTTGAAGCATTCCTCTTTTTCTAAACCTGTATGGCTTCGACCCTCTCAGAACTGGTGTGGACTGCAGAGGATGCAAACAGCAGCAGAGTGTGCCCCAGGCGGCAGTGTCGACTGGACTCGTCCCTGTCGTCATGCTCCACTGCCTGCTCCACCGCCGTCTCGTTGTGACACACCGTATTTGCATATAGTATGCTTGGTTTTGCTGGCTTTCCAGAATCTAGGAAAGTATCTTTATGTTACTGGTCCTAGCGGGAGATCTCAGACTAGCATCCTCTGCCAGGCGTGCTTCAGTAGGTGGATGTCACGTAGAGTCCCTGCACAGGTTACAGGTCTGATGCAAAACACTAATAAAAGTTTTATATTTTCCCCTAAGTTACCCGGAGAGTTGTTTGGGTTGCCAGCTCATTGTGTTTAATTGCGTTGAAATTATGACTAAAGCTGTATTTGGCATTTTTCTTTAAAGAGGAAATTGGTATTTCAAAGATGGTGTCAATGTTGTGTTTACCTTTAGATCCAACCATCATGCTTATTTGAACAAATTAATACTCTATAAAAGTAGATTTGGCAGTACTTAAAAGTTACTTTAGGCAATTGTGTGGCCCCTGCTATTCAATAAAACCTTGCAGGGAGTCAGTTTTACTCATAGACATCTTAAAAAAGGAACCATGAATGCATTGTGGAGCAGCATTGCAGCTCAGTTTTAAAGCAGCGGAGGGTTTAGACAGTTGTACACCTCTCGCCGTCCAGAGCCAGCGCTCAGGATCTGGAGCTTGTTTTTGTGTCGGTTATTCTGGGTGGTGTCTTGGGGATTTTGCTCCATGTGTACACGTTTTCTTTTTTTTTTTTCTTTTTACAGAGGTCTATGTATCTAGCATTTTATTTTTCTACCTGCATTAAGTCTGCACTCCAGAGAGTTTTAGTCAGACTTGGGAAACTTAGTGTTTACAACAAGAACTGTTTTCCGGAACTCTTAACACCCTCTATGAAAGTGAAAATCTGCATGAATATGCTAGAACCATTTAGTGTTTAGTTATTGTAAGTGAAGTCAGTCTACAGAACACATTTAATATATTGAATTTGTAAATATGCAGAATATGGTATTTGTGTATGGAATCTGTGCATTATCATATATTTTCAGATTTTTGGTGAGTAAAATATTAATATGTTAATGGAAATTAGATGTTTACTTCTGAAGGAAGATAATTATGAAAATAAAACCCAAGACTATGAATGATTTTAGTTTTATTTGCTTATTCATTCTCTTCAAGGACACATTTTCTTAATCACTTACATTATTTTAGTTACCTTTCAGAAGAACAACAGTATTTATCTGTCCTCAGTTTTTTTTGCTTTGTCAGAGTTACTGTATATTGAGTCTTTTAAAATACCAGTCATTTATGTCCTAACATACTGCTGTAAAGGCTGCTCACCGGGGAAGTCGAAGACCAATGAACGTATCATCTAAAGGAAGAGTCATCACAGGGTCAGAGGAGAAGAATGGGGATGGTATTGTTTCACAATTAGACTTAATTAGAATCTAAGTTACTAATTGGGTTTCACCTACAATTATACACTGTTTGACAGTATTGTCCCTAACTCTGAGTGGAAATTGATAATATAACTTGATATTTAAATTTAGGATAAGTTGTAAAAATACTAGTCCATAGAGATTCTTGGACTGTGAATTCATGTTTCTCAGGATCCGGTGACATGTTCAAGTTCCTTTTTGGTCACCAGAGCATTTGTAGTCGCATGAAGAGGCTGAGAGATAGTGGTGGCCTTTGTTCTTAGTGGCTAGTGCCGGCAAACATCCCAGACACACTTGGATTTAATGATCTAAAGACGTACCGATTTGAAAGAAAAAAAAATGAGGCAAACATTGATTTTAAAAACGGAGCAATCGCGTTTTTCCAATCCTTCTATTTTCCACAGCAGCCACCCACTAAAGAGCAAGTGTTACAAAAGTGTGAGTCTGTGGGGGCATTCTCGTTCAGATAACCAGGGGTGTTTACTTAGACAACCTGGTGCTGACACAAGATGTACTCAGGTTCCCATTTCTTTGGCCCTATGCCCCATAGTGCTCACTTGCCCTGCCAGAGCAGAACTCTCAGGTGACCTGTGACAGACACACGGCACAAGTCAGACTCGATTGTATTAAGCAGAGTTGGGAGTGATTACTGCAGAATAACATGGTTCCCTTCTGATGGTGATTTTTTTTTTTAATGAAGCCCGCCTTCATAAATGTGACTATCACATTTTGGGGGCAGCTGTTCTATTACATAGATCAACATCCTGCCTACTGGATTGAGTTTACCAAAGACTACTAAATTGTGTACCAAAATCCGTGAAGTCTGAAAAGGTACAGAAACCAACTGGGCAATAAAGCTATTTCAAACTGCATTGAGAGATATCCTTCTGTTCTTCACGGAACCACCTTCTTCCAAATTTAACTAAAAAGCATTGATTATAGAAAATGCAAAAAAAAAAAACCCTAAGGAAATAGATATTAATATACCATGGCCCAATGCACTGGGAAACTGAAGTCCGTTAGAACTAGAATCTGACTCGGAAAGACTTCACTTTAAAAGGCTGAACCCCACAGCCGGGATCAAGTCGTCTCTTCCCCACAGCTCTCTCTGGGGCAGAATTAGGCAGCTGTCTATGCTGTGGCCTAAGAGCAGCCCCTAAACAGCACATGTTATGTATGCTAGGTAGAACTAAATCACGTATATGACATGAGACAAAGGTTTTATGAAAGTCCAGTCTTCCCTGTGTTGTGGGGATGGATCCAGAGGATCCCCAGGGGGATCTGTTTGGGGGAGGCTCTCAGGGCTGCTCTCTGAAGAGGCTCCTCTGGCTTTCCCACCCCTCCCAAGTGATTCTCTTTCCCTGTCTTCTTCACTTTCTCTTCCACTTCATGGCCTGACCATGGCCTTGAGGTCTGTTCATTCTGAACAACCTCATTTCTGGAGGGGATCTTATCAGCTTCCTTTCTGGACCCACTGTTGTTGACTTGTTCTATATTTGACAGAGTTCAACCGCAAAGGTAGGGTCAAGAGTCCAAGCCACCAAAGGTCATGTATTCCCCTGAGCATGTGCAGTCAGCCTGCAGCTGACCTCACGGGGCGCCACCCTCACCTCCCACTCTGCTGCATTCCAGCTCCCAAGATTGTGTGCTTATTCTCCACATTTGCTTAAATTTAATGACTTAACCTAAATAGGTACAAAAATACTCATTTCATGTTGACAGAGCAAGTCAGGTTCAGTGCTAATACTGCTTTCTAGTTTCAGGAATGGACCTGTGATAAATTTCAGTGATCAGGTTATTTGAAGTGGGAAGACCCACCTTAAATGTGGGTGGCATCTTCCTGTGCCACCCCAGATAAAAGGAGGTCCGAGGAAAAAGCTTCACCTTTAACCTTTCTTACTGGTGAGTTTACCTGCTGCTAAAATACCCTTGCTGATATCAGAGCCTGTCCTCTGTAGGCTTCAGCCTGACTTAAGGGAAGTCCCGCTCCAAAGACCTTCCAGGCCTTCAGCCCCAGGGTGGGGCTGCTAGGGTACCCATGCTTATAGACTGAGATTAAGTTCTCTGCCTGTCTAGTGTGAAGACAGCCACTGTTGGTGTCTCCTGACAATACTGTGCAAACCAATCTAATAAATCCCCTTTAATAAATATTCGTTCTTTTGGTCTGCTTCTCTAGGGGACCCTAGCTAATCTGTGAGCCTGGAGAATAATGGCCATTTTGTCTTTGGTTTGTACATATCTTTATCAAAACAAAATAATACATTAACTCCAGTGTGAATACTGGCATGCCATTTTATCCGAGGAAGACCCGTTATAATGATGAAGGGATTAGAGAACAATTTTAACCCTCATCAACACCCAGGCAAGTGTAATGCATCCATCTCTAGTGGAGTTTGTAATACAAGAATCCCCAGGAGAGGTTTTGGCAGATGTGGATACTTAGGCAAGGTGTTTTGATCAAGTACTGCCATGCTGTAGTATGTCTCTGTATCTCTTTGGCTGACTGTAATTTTATCAATCTATCCTACACAAAAGTAATGTTGTTTGGGAACAGCCTGGCAGGATATGGCCACTGCTGCAACAGTGTCATAAATCTTACAGGAGTCACCAACCACTTCCTTTCTGATTGGATTTGAGGGCTGCTTAACAAGATGGAGCTTTGGTATTATTTGTTAACTAGGGCAAAAAACAAAAACAACAACAAAAAAAAAACCCTAAAACTAGTGAGGTGGGCCCTCAAGAAAGAACTCAAAACTATTACTCAGATAAATGTGTGGTTATTAAACTGCCCCCCTAAGTTATCTTTATACCCCCAAATTAGTGCATCTCTCGACCTTCATCAAAGAGGCTTCTCTGAGCATAGATGAAGATGAATATGGATATCTAGAGCTGGAACAGGGCCTCCCATTCTACCACGGAGGCATATTTAAAAGCTTTTTGACTTCTAGTTTTAGACAGAGTCTCACTGTGTTGCCCAGGAGAGCACTGAAATCATGCTGAACTGGAATATAGTCTTCTGTTGAATACCATGGTTAAAGACGGTGCAGAGGACTTCTGGACAGGCCAAGGGCACACAGCCCGGCACCCAAGGTATCATCATTCCCTATGCAGCCTTTTCCCCTCCAAAACCTGTATCCCAAGCCATGCCAAAACTCCCCCTGGGCAGAGGGGAATAGAAATGTCGTATACTGTTAGCAAATGCCAGGCTGGGCCACACAGGCGGCAGCCCTTAAGGGCGAGCAGGGTTATATGCATTCTCATCAGTGGATGAAGGTAGGAACTACGCATGTCTGAAGGGGCTGCTGGGTTTGTGAACTCTCGTAGGTGACCCACTTGGCTAGCTGCTAATTCTAGCTGCCTGGTGTCATCAGAGAGTTCTACAGCTAAGTGACTTGATTTTATGGCTGCAGTGATTGATTCTAACAGTGTACATTGTCAGACTGAGGCACACTGTACCATGCGATTCTCCAGAAAATACTAGAAATGATTTGGGCTCTGCTGTTTAAGAAGTTCCATATCAACTATCGTTGTTTCCCCTTTGTGAATTACTTTGTTCCCTGCTGATATCCTCTATGTAGAGCACCTGTGTGGCAAAGGAAATTAACAGATATGTCTTCTTACCTTACTTTAACTCTTGGTATGCTATCTGGAAAAGAACCACTTTTCCAACGCCACAGAAAGGGCAAACAGATAAATAATGAATACGTAAACACAGTACTCTTCAGGTCTTGACTTTGCAAGATGTGCTTTATTTAAGTCAGTCCTGAACCCCAAGTACACAGGAGTGGGTTGTTGACAGATTCTAGCCCATTCAATGAATCTTCTCAGAAACTTTATTTTTAATAGTGAATGAAAACTATATTTCACTCATAAATTTTCATGCTACATTGTTAATTCATGAAGAGGTTGTGTTTCCAATGATAATAATTTAAGAAAAGGCCATATTTTTATTTCCCCAAGCTCAATATACATATTTCTTTCATAATTATGAACTTAAAAAAACCCGTCTTAGATGTAAAAATGTGAACTGGAATATGTAAACTCTTTGATATGCCTGAAAAACAGCAAGGAAAATGTCAGACTGGAAAAACCACTGCCTTAAATCACGGAGTTGGGAGAAAGCATATGAGAGGGGGCGGGGAGAGGCAGAAGAGCCCTGTGGCCTCAGTCACTGGAGTTACAAAGCTGAGGTGGTCCCATCAGGCTGGACTGACCGCTGCTGTCCTCCTGTTTCTGGCGCAATAGGAGCCATCTGAAGCAGAATGGTCACCGCTCCCTGGGTGTGGCAACCACCCGACCTCAAAGCAGGAGTCCACGGAGTTGCTTTGCGGAGTGTATTTTCCTGAGAAGTCACTGGTGTTTCATAGAAAGATTCTTACTAGTCTTCAGTTGAGATAAGGCAGTGGGAGTGTCACTAATGTTATCTTTTTGCTTAGGCTGAGGCTTGTCCTTCCACCAACACTGTCTGGGTCACGGGTTTCGCCTTTCCTCTTGAACGTTGGGCAGTGCTGCCGCCTCCTATTGCTGCTGCACTTCTGGAGTGTGCTGAGGGCTCTGGGGCTCTCTGCTCAGCAGTTTCCCCAGTGTGGGAAGAGCTGTGTGTTGCGCTTTGACCATGACGTCAGGAAAGGTGAGGTCCCCGGAGAGTAAGACACAGGTGCCTTTCCCTCTTCTCTGAGGGAGGGGACCCTCCATGAACCTTT